GGGTGGAGGTGGGGGCAGCCCGCGAAGGGACTTGCTGGGCCTAATCCTCGGGGGGGGGGAAGCAGGTAGGAAGGGGCCCAGGAATGAGAGTTGGCTGAATCTGAAGCCTTCCTTTGGGGGGTTTAGTTATAGCTGTTCAGATGGCTAAAAATAAAACAGCGAGGATGAAGCGCAGGGTCTCCTGCACACCCAGCCTGGCAGCATCTCTCCCGAGCCCCAGCAAGGCTCTCCTCATTTCCTGAAACGAAGAATGCAAAATGAGATTGTGTAGCCAGCGCTGGGTTCGACATTTAAAGCCCCAGCCAAATCCTGCCAGCAGCATGAAGCCTGCTTTCTCCCCGCCAGGCGCACTGCTCTCCAGGCCCGCAGAGCAGCCCAGCCAGAGGATCGACCACTACCTGTCCTCCTTCCCCTGGTTCCACGGCCCCATCTCTCGGGTCAAGGCAGCCCAGCTGGTCCAGCTGCAGGGCCTCGAAGGCCACGGGGTCTTCCTCATCCGGCAGAGCGAAACCCGCAGGGGAGAATACGTTCTCACTTTCAACTTCCAAGGGAAAGCGAAGGTGACGCGTCGGTTCAGCGTGCTGTTCTCCAGAGCTGGTTAACGGGGCTGGGAGGGAGGGTAGAGAAGCCGCAGGCTTAGCAGGCTTACCCTGGTTCATGCATCGCGCTAAGCCCTGGTTGGCCTCGCCGTGTTCTAGTGAGCTCTAGTCCTCACGGTCATCTAAAAGCCAGGGGGCTGGAAAGTAGGGTCCCTAGATAGGGTGAAGGCGTTGTTCTCGCTGGCCATCCGGGTGGGGGGCGAACGGAACTGGCAGATGGTAACTCTCTTCTGCCTTCCTCGGCAGCACCTGCGGCTTTCGCTGACGGAGCGGGGCCAGTGCCGCGTTCAGCACCTGCGCTTCTCCTCCATCCTAGACATGCTGCATCACTTCCAGCACTGCCCGATCCCCCTGGAGTGCGGCACGGCCTGCAACGTTCAGCTCTCCAGGCACGTGGTGGTCATCCCGCCTCTGCAAGGTAAGGAGCCCCGCGAGGGCCAGGCTGGGCACGTGGCCGGGCTCCTGGATATTACGACGGGCTGCTCTTGTTCCTAGACTATCGCACGTGCCTTTTTTTCGAGAAGGGGAGAACCTTTAGCGTTGGGCAGGGGAGGAGTTGAGGGCCGCCCTCCTGGACGCTATCCTGCAGGACGCTGGTGGGAAGAACGCTGCCGAGAGACCCGGAATCTCTGTAGGTTCCGTTTCCCCTTTGCAGCAAAAAAGGAACGCGTAGCAGGCGCCACTGAATGCAGAATTTTGGGCGGCCCCAGAGCCTGCTTTGCACTCCCCTGCCTGTATAGCTTGAAGCGCGTGCAGCCGGTGAATCTCTGTTTCCCCCCTTCCTTCCCGCCCTGCAGCCTCCAGCCACGCAGCTGCGCTCCCACCTTCCCTCCATCGCTGCAGTCCCGAGGTCAGCTTCGTGCAGCTGAATCCGGCTGGCTGTCCACGGATCCGCCTGGCTGACAACCTTCACCGCCACTCCGTGGAGCAGATCTTCCACCTTGTACCCCCTCCGGAAGAACTGGCCGGTGGCCTTCGGCACGGCCACAGCCGGGCCTTGCCGTCCCCCACCCCTGTGGCCCGTCAGTGGGACAGTGACTACGAGATGGACGCCCAAGGCAGGGGGCACCTGCGGGCGGTCAGCAACCAATACACGTCCCTCTGACACCCGCGGCTCTTGCCCAGGACGCTGAATGACCATGTTGGAAACCGTGCCCTCGTCCAGCTGTGTTTAGTATTTGGCCGGTGAGGCTGGGCGTTCGCTCCCTTTGGGGTGCGACTGTTGGATCAGGCTTGCTCCAGGACCTCCTCGGCCTGCGTGTTTCCCCTGACTCTCATCGGTTTGCACATGCCTCTTCTTCTTTTGCATTTAGCTTTTTTAGTGGTTCATACGATATTTGCAGTGGCTGATTTGGGGATCTTACCCCAGTCTTTCCTTTGAGGGGAGAGGAAAGCGGCGGGGTGGGGGGATAAGGACAGAAGAGAGGCCAAATTCCCCACCCCGATCCCCTGCTGCTTTCCATCCTCACCATCTTGTCACTGAATTAAGGCATTCGGGTTCTCCAAGAGAAAACTACCTTCAGGGCTTTTCTGGAGTCCTGGAGGAGGATTGAAACAGGTGGCTCTTGCTGAAAACACACCCTCAGCCGGGGCAACTGGAGGCTTCAACATTCATTGCCACCTCGGTGGCTGGGTCTTAGTGCCTCGCTCCCCCGCCCTCCAAAAATTGCTCTTCCTTGGTGGGCAACGATGCAGTTGCACCAGTCAACTGTCACGGCGTCTTGGCACCGTGTGTGAGCCTGTCTGCAAGTGCAGCTTGCTCCGTTAAACAGGCAGCAGTGGCCCTCTGGCGCTTCTGAGTTTTCAAATGCAAATCCATCTCAATTTATAGGAAAGTCCCACTAGAGTAATGCAACTTGGCATGGATATAGTGAACAGTATGTCCCTCCCCCTTTTTTTTGCTATTAAAACCACCAGACCAACAAAGGACAAGTAGCAGGTGCCATTCGCGTCTCTCCTGCCCCAGACACCCTTTGATAACAGCCGGAGTTAAAGGCAGCGCCTTTTCTCCGAACGCCTCCCATTCAGCTGTCTCCAGGCAGAAATGTTGAAAGGCTGCCTTAAAACCAACGTCTTGGGGCCCCAGGAATCACCTGAACCTACCCCTTTCCAGTGGCCCACAACATCGCCAGCCGCTCTCTCTTTTGCAAAGAGCAAGCTGGTCCTCTGCAATTTACGGGGCAATGGCCGCAGCCAAAAACTTGGAGAAAAACACCCATCACCCACGGGTGATGCATTCAGACCCCAAAGTCCATTTTTTAAGGACGGTGGTGGTAGAGATTTAAATTCTCGTTTCCCTGCTTTGGTTGCACAAAGCAGCCTCCTGCCACGGGTGACGTGGTGGGATTCGAAGGTCTGGCAGGAGGTTATGTGAGCTCTTCCTCACATGTAGCAAGGCTTCTTTAACGGGGGGGGGGGTGAACTTCCCAATTCCCACAGTAACCATATGTACCTCGAGGAGGAACTGCAGGCTGAAAAACAGCCACCGCAAATCATCTTAATCTGCTTGACAGCAGGAAGCTGAAAGGGAAACAGGGAAGTGATAAGTCTGCCAGGGTTGCAATCGCTCGACCAAACAGAGGAAGTTGAGTTTGGTCTTTTCTGCAAGAAGCCGGTGGCTGTCCTCCAGCTCTTGGGGCAAATTCAAATTGCCGATGCCCGGGGAAGGGCAAACACACACTGCCTAGATCGTGACGTTTTGGGAGCCAATTCACACGTGCCTTGCACTGGAACTGCCTTTATCTAATCAGTGGCTCGACCCTGTGCTGGAGAGTCCCAGGAACAGGCAAGCTTGAACCTGCTTGGAGGAAGCTGACACCCTCCCCTGGCCTGCGATGTCGCCCTTGGAATATTAGACACTGTAGCCCAGGCCAGCTGGAGGGCCCCAGGTTGGAGGTATGCTGAACTCAGCCTGAAACTTTATTTTAGAACAATGCTTCTCAACCTTAGCCATTTTAAGATGGGTGGGCTTCAACTCCCAGAATTCCCCAGCCAGCATGAAGTCCACCCATCTTAAAACGGCTAAGGTTGAGAAACACTGTTTTAGAGGGGCAGCATCAGCTTTTCCTACCTGGTACATCTTTGCATCCCTGAGCAGCGACAGGCAGGAGAGCCTCAAGTAGATACAAGAACACCTTGCGACCTCTACCTCCGCAGCCTGTGCTCCAGCTACCTTCCCCCACGGGAAGAGCTTCCAGATTCTTCCCCTTCTCCTTTTCTTGCTAACAGAGATCATCTTTCAGGGTTTTTTTTTTTTTTAAGGATAATAAATGGAGCACCAAAGCTTTTTGGAATATTGGAACAAAACCTAGTTTTCTAAACTCACGTACACTGGATGGTGGGGGGAACGGGGGCGTGGGGGAATAAATGCATTTTCCAAACCCTTTGCTGAAAACCCTCTGGGAGAATCCAGCCCAGGATTGAAGGGAATTCCCTCTGTTCCCCGGGGCCTGACCAGCTTGTGCCGGTGGTTCCGCCACGCAAGAAGAGATGGGCGGTGGAGTCACCAGCGGCCGAGCCATCGGCGCCAACTCGCGCGGCTTCCTTCAAATGTTAAGGGGTAGAAGCTGCTTCGCCTCCTGCAGTTCCCAGCTTTGGAGTCCCACCGGTGGGTCTCTGCGAGGACAGCAGCCGCGCGGGCGGGTTCCACGGCTCGGCTCTCAAAACTAAATAAAGCCAAATGGGCCTATGAGGAAGAAAACTCTGTTCTTTTTCAGCCCCCTCACATTCTGGCCCACTCGCAGAACTTTCCCTGTATATTGTTTCCATACGTACGTGTAACTTATTTTTGAATACTGCTAAAATATTCCGATGTGCTCTTACCTTAAAATAAACCGTTTGGAGATTTTCAGAGTTGGTTCTGGGATCCTTCTGATCCCCCCCGCCCCATGCCCAGTTGTCCCCGTTCATGGAATCGTAGCAAAACAGGCCTTCTAGTAAGCGTAAAAGATTAAGTTGCACCTTTTAGGACCGGAAGACAACCGGGGCTCTCTGCCATTCAGAGCTGGGGGTCAGGCTCGGGCTGACCTGGGCCCGCTCAGTCGGATGCCACCGATTTGGGGCAGGAGAAAAAAAGCAGAGCGGACAAGGTACACTGCACAGACGCCAGTAGGAAAGGTCAGTTTTTAAAACTTTTTTTTATTTTTATTATTATTTTTTTAGTTTTTATTTTATATTATCTACAAAGTAAGTTTCCTCTTAACTTAAAAGTTACACCGCTGCCTTGGGACAGTGGTTGTTTCCCCCCTCAAACATGATTTTATAAATAATAAATCCATATCCATTTGACAATTAGATTTCTTTTCCCCCAAACCTCTTTCAAGTTTAGTTAGCGGTAAAAGGGATTTTTGTTTAGAGTCTTGATTTTTGTAATTACTATTTACTATTATTATTTTTAGTGAGAACGGCAACAAGAATCGCTCTCGTCACTTCATTCTCCAGCTCATGAATTCATAACTCTGAAGGGCTGTTTTAAAAAATAAATAGCTTTTCCAGTTTTTCTTTTTCTGCAAGCGAACTGGGGCAGGAGGTCAGGGTTGTCCTAGTTTTTGACACAACACATGGAATCATGGAATTGTCCCGGGAGGGATCAACATGCCTTTGACTCAGTCCAAATTTCTCCCACTGGAAGGTGCGCTATTAGCATTCCTACTGGAAGTTACACCTTTTTTTTTCCGCCTTAAAAACAAAAATAAGTGAAATACTAGTTTTTGTTTTGCTTTGCTTTGCTTTGTTTCTGTGCTTCCAAGTTGGATGTAGCAAGAGAAGAAAGGTATTTGGCCTTAAAAAAAAAAAGAGGGATCCAGCCTCAGTTACTCCAAGTCAGCTTTACAACTGCTGTTGATGGTGAGTGGGAACTGTGAGAGAGAGAGAGAGAGGGGGAGGGAAATGTTGAGATCCAAACGGAAGGAGCGACTCAGAGCCCTCCATCCAAGCAGCTCCTTGGTCTCACAACGGCTTGAATCTTGTCCCCCTCCTGTGCCTTTCCTGCCCCCAACTCTTCCTTTTCTTCAACGGGGGGGGCAGGGAGAGGAGGAAAAGATGAAGTTCATGGAAATCAGAGCGATTTTCACAAACCCAAAAGGGCTCTGAACAATGAAGCCAGCAGGGTGAGTCTGAGCCCCTGGAAGGGGCATGTGACGCGGCGATCTGGGCATTAGCAGAGCGAGAAGTCGGATGCCCAGGGTGGCACGAAGGCTTGCGGGAAACGTGCCTGCCCTGCCCTGCCCTGCCCTGCCCGCCCGCCTCCCTCCGCTGGGCCCAGCCTCAGAAGCTCTTCCTTCTCTCTCTTGCGCTCCTGGCCCTCTTGCCAGGCACGGCGGCGGTGCATGCACAGGGCTCACCTGAAGGGTGTGTCATATAGGGGAAGTGTGTGGCTGTCGAAACTGGAATGTGCTGCAGTGCACTTTGCGCAAGAGCGGCCTGGGCTCCGCCGGGTGGTGGCTGCGTCGTCATGAGCATCACTGGAGCATGGGTAGGAGGGTGGGAAGGAGCCATCCCTGACTGCACGTGGGCCTGGAACGAAGAGCAAGGCCATCAGGAGACGCCCCTCCTTCCCACCAAAGGGCTTCTGTTTAGATGATCTCTCCTGGGGTTAACAGATGAATCCCGGTCATGACTCACTACGGGCTGCTACCTTCTGATCCTAGTTGCACGAGGGGGACAAGCCCTGCAGTCGCGGCCCGTTGGGTCCCTCCCTCCATTTCCTCATCGCCCCACAGAGCAGGGAAAGGAGACTCGGAAGGCAGGATTCCACCAGTCTTACCCCACAAACCCAGCTCTACACCCGGGTTCAGTCTGGGCTCTCCATTAAGAGGGTTTCAGAAAGCCATGATGGAAAAGGCCCCTGCTTGCAGGCAGCCCAACCCGGGGACAAGACAGTGTCTTCTGGTCCCCTGCCCGCCTGTCGGACCCTGGTTGGTTCCGCGCTTGGCAGAACCTCTTGCCTGGGCAAAAGTCCTGGCACGACATTCGAGGCAGGCCTCGTGTGCCGTGGATACAGCAAGGGCCCAGCCCTCCCGATTGTGGGGCCAGCCAGCAACGTGGCCTCTCTTGGACCGAAGCTCCCGCTGCGGGGGCCCAGGCAAGACGCCGGAGAGCTCGGCTACCTGCGGGACGTGGGCCATGTGCGGCGGGTTGGTGTAGGCAGGCTGGACGTGGGAAGGATGGATGGCGAAGATGGTCTGCTGTGCTGCTGGAAAGCTGCTCTGCGGGGACTGTGCGTTGGAGCCAGGGGTCATGGACGGAGGCGTCGGGGCGAGGCCGGTGTGGTAGAGTGCCGACTGCTGCTGGGCGTTCGTCAGATGGAGGGCCTGGGCCGCCTGGTGCGGGTGGGGCTGCAGAGAGAGGGGCAGGAGGAGAAACACTGCTCACGCTGCGCTGCCCGCCCCCTGGGAGGGTGCAGCACAAGCGCACGTCTTCCCCTCCGCCCCGCCCGCCGCGGGGGGGGGAGCTCCTACCTGCACTGGGCTGGGCGCCGGGTGGTTTCCCCCATGCTGGCTCTGTTGCTGCCCCGTGGGGGTGGCTGAAGGCTGCGGGTGCGGGGTGTGCGGGTGCAGGGTGGCACTGGGGTGGGCGTACTGCTGAGCAAGAGAACCGGTGGAAACTGGGAGGAAAGAAAGAGGAAGATGCATGGGAAGACGCCACCTCTTTCGGGCGGCCTATGGCACGGCTTCAGCTCCAGGGCTTCGCTTTTAAGGAACTAACTGCGTCTGCCCCCCTCCGGGTCCGACATCCTGCCTCATCTGAAAATGCGGTGGGGGCAGCCACTTAGTCTCACAGGCTCTATTCCACCCTACTTCTTTGAGCACAGAGCTCTGCGGGGGGAGGCCGCGGGGGCCCTGGGCGGAAGTGCGAGGCTGCGTGAGGCTGCCAAGGCGGACAATCGCTTGGCAGCCCCTGCGCAAAGGGGCAGAAGGCCACCGGCTCCTCATCCTTTCAGCGTACGCTGTCGCCACAACCCTCCTGGCCTCTTTGGGGAGGGCACCCCCTTGACCACTCCAGCTTCTGACTGCACGGATGCGCACCCCTCTGGGCAGCATTCCCGCCGTTTATTCTGAAGGCGATTCTTTCGGCCTCCTAGTACAAGATGCTGGCTCACCCCCCCCTTTTCTGCAGACCGAGAGAAAGAGGACTTGGTGGGAGTCCACAGTCTGCAGCAAAAGTCTCCTGGCAGGGACAGGAGCTTCCTGAAGTACCAGCAGGCTGCCGCATTCCAGCTTTCGGGAAGGAGATCCAACACTCCTTGCAGGGGAACTGTCGGCCCAGAATGCACAGGAGGCAAACTAGGGCTGGAATCCACATCTCTGGGTACCCCGTGCCAAGAAAAACATGTGGAGCAACTTCCTTGTCTTTTACCTGCCAGATCATTCAGACTCTCTGAACCCTTCCCCACCAAAAAGAAAAAAAGGGGGGGTGGAGGGGCAAATGGCAGGCCCTCGCATCTCCAAAGGTCCACCCGCGAGCGCTGCTGCTTCCCACTGGGCAGAAATAAGCTGATGTGGGCTACCTCTCTCCCCTTTGCCCCCCCTTCCCTACGCGGCCGATGCAGCCCGACTCAATGAAGCAATCGGACACTCAGTTCTGCACAAGAAGGGGAGAAATTAAAAACTGCAGGTCAGCAAGAACAAAGAGGAAACAGAAGAAAAGGGGAAAGTCAGAAAGAAGCCGTGCAAAAGCTACCAGTTGCTACTTCAAGGTGGGGGGGAGCAGGAGAGAGGCTATTAGAGCAGCAGAACACGGAGCATCAGAGGAGGGGGAAAGAAGGCAGCCAAATTAAACACCGGCTGAAATTCTGCTGGCAGGATGTGGCAGCAATGGGCTCAGAGGAACACCTGACCACAACTGGGGCAGGTCACTGCCCAACCCAGTCAGATGGTGGTCAAGACCTTTGTCCACACGGTAGAAAGCCCGGGGCTCGTTCACAGCATGAACGGTCCAAGCAATGCCCTTCCATCCTACATGTGCAACGGGCTTCGTTTCACCAAGGGAAGCCAATGGAAAGGGCATCGTCCAGTTGAAAGGGCTCCAGTGCACCGAACCTACGTGGTGGGGCTGCCAAAGGGAAGAGGCAGGCAGCAGACACCTGGGACAGGCTCCCCAAGGGGTCGTGCCCCCTCCATCTTGCTGCAAGGATCCCTCTGTCACGGATTGACCATCCCACTCAGCGTCGCCCTGAAGCCTCCTCCAGCCCCTTGGTTAGAAAACTGGCCCATGCTGCGAGTCCTCCGGGGCAGGACGTGCAGAGGTTCCCAGCATCAAGCCTTGCAGCAGCGTCTTCCCCGTCCCTGCCCTTTTCCTTCTCCGATTCCCCCCTTTCGCTGGAAATTCTGCACAGAACACCCTGGGCACTGCAAAATTTAGCGGAGACCGAGGCTCCGAGGAAACAGGAGAAACACGCACCAACACGGGGGGCGTTGCGCAACTGGCTCCATGTTTGCCAGCTGACCCAGTGCTGATTGTCCTTTTACCCGCGTGTGTCTCCTAAACAGGATCTAATGTTCCTCTGACAGCTTCATTCAGCGTCTCTGGATATCCTACAAGTTTGCTACCTCTCGCCAACTGGAGAAAAAAGCTTCCTTGTGTCGGGAAGAGGTCTGGGGCAAAGACAGAGGGCATCTGTTCCAGGAGCCCATTCTACCGACAGATTCGTTCAACGTATAACATCAAAGTTAGTACAAAAAACCCAACTCACTGGCAAAGTAGAAAGAAGGGCCTGTCTCCTTGCTGTAGGGTATTTTGGGACATGCTGGATTTGGGAAATAGAAAGGGAAATTAGCCACATGCCACAAGATTAAAGCACCACTTCCAGACTTCTGGAAAGGTTAACAGTCAATTATTGTTTTCATGCACAAACCGATTTGCAATTACAAAAAAAAGTTAAAACCGCCTTCAACCGATTAGGATCGTCAGTCGGTCTTCATTACTATTAACATGTCCATGATTAAAGTCATTTTACATACTATTAAGTACCCACAGCAGGAAAAATAGGGTTCAAAAGTATTGAAAGCAATTTGCAACAAAAATGAATACACTGATTATGATCCCAGGAAGCTGGATTTCCCTTTGTAAGCCCAGCCCTCTTTTCCCCCTGCCGAGCCCCCACTCAGTTCATCATCTTGAATTTCCATCAGAGAGAAAATGAGTTGGCGGAGAGAGAAAATCAGACGCAGAAAACAACTAAAGTCAGAAGAAGAATCAGGATACGACACAGGGTCTGCTCACTCTTTGGACCAAACCGTCCAGTTCTTAAACTAAAGGCTGCCGTTGTTCACAGATTCATTTACATGGTGAATTAGAGTAAATGTGAGCCAGAGACATTCGTTCCCTTTGTTAGGTACGACTTTTATGGGCCGCGAGTGATAGAGCCCATGAAAGCTCTATCCCCTCTCAGCTCCTCTCCCAAAGAAAGGAAGAACGGAAGAGCGAGCGCTGCTTCAGGGTCTCAACACACTCAGAAGATGGCACACGTTTGCTCGGCAATCTGTACACAGGCCAGGACCTTTCTCGCATTTTACTTTTACGAGAGGGAAGCTCGTCAGAGTGCTGATGATAAAGGAGACCACCCTGGAACCTAAGATTTGGACTCTTAACAAGGACTTCCCAGCTCCCTGTTTCCAGCGCGCGGAAGGGCGCTCAGCTGGAACGCCCTATCAGGGCCATGATGGTGCCCTCCAAGGTAGCAACACCCCAGCCCTCCTTAAGGTTAAAGCCTCCAAGAACGCCTCCCACCGCCTTTTCATCTCAAAGGCTTGATTTTCATCCCCAGAGACAATCTTGTCCATGAAAAGCTGGCTGCTGGGCCCCTCCCGCGAGAACAGGTCCTCTCTCCAGCCGGGTGCGGGGGGGGGGG